GTCAAAATGAAAGAGCTTTCAGGCTCTTTGCAGATGAAAAGGGAGATGTCATCACTCAGGACCAGCACTAACACCACTGCAGCTAGATCAGTGAAGATTTAATTTCCCAGGCAGAAGAACTGGCAATCATAGAGCTATGCAAGAAACGCCCAGACAAAAACAAAACCACATGCACCTTAGGCTACAATAAAAAAAATGTTACATTTAAATACACCAGTTTGGTGGTTAAACATAACTTTACAGTTTCAATACATCTGCATCTGGATTGGGTAGTTCCCTTATATACAGGAGGCTTCTCTGTATTTATGGGCTTCGTTCAAGCACAGGCGATTGTATTATTCCAAAAAATCTGGGCATACAGGGTGTACAGAGGATGCATGTACTGGTACCTGACAAATCAAGACAGCTCTTATGCTGATGGGGCTTCATGTGTATGCTGATAGGCTGCAACGTTCTGGAAATTATATCAAGCCCTATTCAAAGAACATTGGATTTCTGTGTTGCATTCAGGTAGATCCAAAGCAAGAGCAATCATGCCAAGCAGGTAGTAGTGGACATAAACTTGAAAAAAAGTCTTGTACAGTATTTCTGCTACCCAAAGAGATACTTAAGGTCATGCAAGGGACTTGAACTAACCAATGGCATGACTGGATTTAAAACACACACACACACACACGAAGTATTTGACCTGCATGATGTATTATAAGTTGCCATTGAAATTATCTCATTCAAAACAAATTCAATAAATTGCTGGTCAAGAAAAATAAATCTTAGGTTGGGTGCAGAATTTTTTTTTTCAGTTTTAACGTTCAGGTTGCAGAGAGAATGAGGGGAGTTCATAGAGGTCTGAGGGCTGCGAAAATAACCTGATTCTGCACAGGACCTGTGGGCAGGGGTGGATTAACCATTAAGCATAATAAGCACGTGCTTAGGGGCATCAAGGTAAGAGGGGGCACCACAGAAATTTTCTATAGCCGAATTTACCATGGGCCATGTGGTGCAATACTGCAAATGGTGCAGCCATGAAAAAAAACATACAGATACATACAAGAATAACAAAAGCACTCAGAGAGTGTAGACCTCTGTCAAGGGTCATGAAATCAGGGGAAACCCCTTCCCCCCATAAATGAAAGCAGGGGAACCTTTGTATGCTGTCTGTGAAATTTGTATACAATCTGTACAACATCAGTAGAAAAAAACCAAACACACACATACTGTGACCAAAAAAACCCTCATTGATGGAAGTAAAAATAAGAATAATAGTAATGATAGAGGTTAATGATATACATTAGTGGTGGGGATACAACAAAATTAGAATCTGGTAAGTTTAACTGCCCCATGGTCCACCGAGGCTTGTCCAACTTCTAAGTCTTGTTTATGTCGGGTTTCCTGTTCAGTTGTCCACTGAGAATGAGATTGTGCAGGGGTGCTAGCAGCTCACTCAGTGTCCAGTGTGCCAAGAGGCAACAACACATGTGTTAGCTTTGTGTCAGGATCTGGCCTACATGGTCCTGGTAAGGTAACTGCAGGATCAGGGGCACCCTGATTCAGGAATTGCCTGGTGTTTGCAGGATCAGGCCTCAGCCTGAGCAGCAGCTACTAGGCCACTCATGAGGGGGCCACCTGGAAGCCTGGAGGAAAAGCCTATTTAAGGAGTGGTTCTCCTTCCCAGACACGCAAGTGTCTTCTGCTCTTGTATTTTGGCCCGTGCACGCAGCCTTGCCTTGTTCCTGGTTCCTCCTTCCTCCCCTGTTGTTCCTGCCTTGCCTGCCAGCCTTATTGTTCTAGCTCTGTTACCCTGTCCGATGGATTGGGCCCTGATGCCCTTGCCAGGTGGCAAAAGGCCACCTAATAGCTTCCAGACTTTGACACTTAATAAGTAAGTTGATTCCTTATGTAACACTGACAACAAATAATGTAATTAATGTTTCATAATTTTGTGAAAGTGCTTATGAAATATTGTGAAACTCATGAAAATGGCCAAATGGTGTTGCTTTTGACTATGTATGCATTTACATTTTTTTTATTGCATGGTGGTGGACTGGTGGTGATAACTAGATATGTATTTCATTATGTCTATCAACTTACATGACAGACCGCCAAGAACCAAGATGAAACATGTTCAGTTAAGTGGGGCACAAAAGCGAATACTATCAAAAAAGAAACAAGAGAAGACTTTGGATTTAGAGTCCAAGACTGCAAAGGTGTCTGATTTCTTCACACAAGTTCCACAACATGATATACCTATCCTGGGTCAAAACCAATCTCCATCATCAAAAGTGGACACAAATACAGTAAATGCCACTTTGATCACTTCAGAATCAAAATATGATGGTAGAATCACTGAGGTGTCACAAGCAGGTTCATCTAGCACATGCTTCATTACTGATCTCACTTTGCCTATACCTCTACTGCAAATGATGAATGACGTTACTTTACAATACATTCTGGGTCTGAAATAATTGCTGAAAATTAAAGTTTAGTGGGCCATGGTGATGGTGGTGAAATTATTCTGTCTGCAAAAGATGAAGTAAATCACAATGTAGCAAAGGATCCAGGGTTGTGGCTTGATTTCTCTGCTGATGATGTGGCTTACTGGATTGCTTGTGGACCCAGTGTCTGTCAACACCACAATGGGCCGTTTGACAAGTCTTACTGGCATTTCAGTAGCGGCAAGCCAGTAAGGTATTGTTCACAGAAACCTTTTGTTGGGACAAAAGCCAATGGTGAGAAATACGAAAGAGAGTGGCTACTGTATTCACCATCAACAGGATAGGTTTATTGTTTCATTCGCAAACTGTTTCCTCTTAAAAATTTCTTGAGTTTTCTTATAAAAGAAGGGTTCAGTGACTGGCGAAATACTATTATAATTGCTAATCATGAAAAAAGCGCTACTCACCAAGACTCTATGCTAACATACTTAACTCGTAGACAAGCTGCAGGGTTGGGGCAACATTTGGAGAAACAAATTCAGGAAGAGTGTGATTACTGGGAACATGTCTTGAGGCGTGTCATAGCTGCTATTCGTATGTTAGCTGAACATGGCTCGGCTTTTCGAGGAACAAAAGAAAGGTTTGGATCATTGCAAAATGGGAATTTTAAAGAGCTGCTTGAACTCATAAGCCAGTTTGATCTGTTTTTAGCAGGCCACATTTCAAAATATGGAAATTCAGGCAAAGGAAATCCTTCTTACCTGTCCAAAACCTGTGGTTTTAAGAAAATTTAAGAATTTAAGAAAATTCTTAAAGGTTATATTGGAAATGAAAATGTCTTAAAATCCCTTTTTGATACCAAATGGGAGGCAGATGTTATGGCAACAACAGCAATTTTGAAATATTTCCTTAAAATTTTAGAAGCATTAGAATATATAGCCGAAGACTAGACACAAAAGGGAGACACTAGAAGAGAAGCAAATAATATTGCAGATAAGATGCAAGAGCTAGAATTTGTTCTTATGTTGAATTTTTGGAATGAGATTTTGCAGGATTTTCACGGAGCAAGCCAACTTCTACAAAATGAGGATGTGAACTTGGAAACATGTGCAGATCTGTACGTATCATTAGCTGACCAACTGTGCACTCCACAAGATGAATTTGAAAGATATGAAGGAGCTGCAAAGGAAATGCTACCAGATGTTGATTACAAGGCAGCTACAACTTGCAAACATATCAGAAAGAAGGTACTCAATGATGGAGATGCACCAGAAGTATATCTGAATGCCAGAGATAAATTCCGTATCACCACCTTTTACACAACTGTTGACAAACTTTAAACTGAGATGAAAAGGAGAGAAATATAAAGAAATAGCAGAGATTTTCTTTTCTAAGTGATATGCCACATGATGTCACTTCATCATCTACTAACATTGAAAGATATTCTCGGTGCTGTCAAAAGCTGATTGATGCTTACCCAGAGGACTTCAACAGTAAATTCTCAGCTGAGCTCCAGCAGTTTCATTTATATTTGTGCCATAAGTTCAGTGCAACAAAAATGTAAAAACAAGATTCAGTTCTGCTGAACTTTATAAAATAATTGTAGAAGACAATATTGAGTGTGCCTTTCCAAATGTAGACATTGGCTTTTGTATATTTTTAACATTAAGGGTCACAAATTGCTCAGCTGAGCATTCATTTACTCCATTGAAATATATTAAAAATTGTATCAGAACAACTATGCAACAAGGCAGGCTGGATGCCTTATCTCTATTAAGTATAGAAGCAGATGTGTTACATAATATTAGTTTTGAGGATCTGATCAAAGACTTTGCAATTAAAAAAAGTAGAAAACGTTTCAAATATAAAATGGAAGTATACAAAAATAAACATTGTTTTCCATCTTATTGTATGTTTTGTTCAATTTTGATAAATAAAATTTTATTTTATGGTTTATTATTGTTCATATTTTGAATTACATATATATGGGGGCACCAAAATCTTTTAAGTGCTTAGGGCCTCTAAGGGTCTTAATCCGGCCCTGCCTGTGGGCCATGCTTTGTTTAGCCCTTACCTAAATGAATAACGAGTGAAAAAAGATTGAAAGGCAGTGGACACCATATGAGCTGGCAGCCTGGACCTCAACCCTACTACGATGCCATTTTTAGATTAAAGCAAAGGGGCATATCCCAATCTTTTCCACTGAGGTTCAGTTCTAAACATAATCATAGAATCACAGAATAATTGAGGAAGAAGGGACCTATAAGGTCATTGAGTCCAATCCCCTGCTCAACACAGGAATCCAAATCAAAGCAGATCTGACAGATGGTTGTCCAATTTTCCTTTGCATGCCTCCAGCATTTGGGCGCTCACTAGCTGCCAAGGCAATTGGTTTTATTGTCAAGCTGTTCTAACAGTTAAGAACTTATTCCCAATATTCAGCCTAAATCTAGCTTCCTGTACTCTGGAATGGTAGAGAACAGATCCTGCCCCTTCTTTGTATGACACCCTTTCAAGTACAGTACTTGAAAAATGCTATCATATCTCCCCTCTGTCTTCTTTTATCAAGGTAAAACATGCTCAGTTCTTCCAGTCTTTCTAGTCCCCTGATAATGCTTGTTGTTCTCCAGTTTGTTGGAATTCATGTTGGACTATTAAGCATGGCAGTATATGTAGCAAATAATTCACCATCACTAAAATATCACTTGCTAGGAACGCAATGTTGAATTCTTCTATTTTATACAAATATCAACATCATTACAGTTCAACAATACTTGCAAAAAGAGAAGCCTGATTCTTACATGGTTAATGTATTGTGCATAATATATTTTTTCACAGAATATTTTTTTAGAAAACTTGTTAATTAATAGCACCTTTTACATATCATATCACCCCATAGACATATTTATCTAAATCAACAAGAAAACCTCAGTTCTAAGAAGTACTTCTGCAAGCATACAGTACTGGTTGTCATTGGTTGCTTTTTAAAACGGAATTTACACAATGACCTGGTATTATGTTCAGCAATGTGCAAATCCACAGGAGAAGTCTTGAATAACATTGATTGGCTTTCAAGAGTGTTTAGTTAACACGGCACGACTTGACTGAATAGCAACATTCTGGAATATTTCAGAAGGCAGTGGAAGGCAATAGAAAAGTCCATTAATAGCAGTGGCAAGTGGTTAGCATTCCATAATGCAAGCACAGCATGCTTAAGTCGTTCCTTGCAAAATATATCACAATTCCAATTTTTTGTGGCTAGCCGAATATATCAGGTTTCATTGAGCACAGATTGCTGCTACATCCCCTTGTCTTTTAAAAGGCAAGGAGAAAAAGGCAACACACCCAAACTGAATTCTGTATGTGGTCTCAAGCAGTAATCAAGCAGCACCATAGACTTAGACTGACGAAAGCTTATACAATATTGAGCTTTGTCAACATCTATAAAGTTTCCTGAAGTTTCTTTCTTGTCTGTGTTCTTGTTTTCCTTTCCTTGTCAAACGAACTGCTCAGAGTCCTCCAGCAACAGTCATTCAAAAGGCACTGTTCGGTGCTCTGTGCTTAAAAGTGGCAGAAATGTTGCAGCACCATTACCATTTCCCTGGAATGGGTACACCACACTCATACCAGCCCACATAGTAATATGGTGTCATATATCCAATGCGTCCAAAAGATACAGGCTCTTGTCGATATTGGCGATAATAACCTGTAAGGAACCAAAATATCAATATTAGCACTCCAGCAGCAGAAGAAGAATCCTATTATTATTAAGGAAACAGAGTTGCCTGAAAAGGTATCAGGGCCAACCCTCGTTGCCTGGCAGTTATCTAAAATATCATCTACTGCCCCACTGGTCTGCCATTGTGTTACTGGATGTGGCACAGAAAGTAGCCCCTTCTGTATTGCTGTGAGAAAACTCACTCTAAATGCACTTCCCTCTGGCAAAGTGTGTTGTTTACATATCGCCCCAGAGTGCTTAAAGCTAAAAGGTTACATAATACGGGACGTGGTGGCGCTGCAGGCTAAACTGCAGAAGCCTCTGTACTGCAGGGTCAGAAGACCAACAGTCGTAAGATCGAATCCATGTGACAGAGTGAGCTCCCGTTGCTTTGTCCCAGCTCCTGCCAACCTAGCAGTTCGAAAGCATGTAAATGCGAGTAGATAAATAGGTACCATCTCGGTGGGAAGGTAAAACGGCGTTCCCTAGTTACACTGGCCACATGACAATGGAAACTGTCTTCGGACAAGCACTGGCTCTACAACGGGATGAGCACCACCTCCTAGAGTCGGACATGACTGGACTAAGAATGTCAAGGGGAACCTTTACCTTTTACCTTTACATAATATTAAAGGCTTCCTGCACCAAAGGCAGCCCTGGGGAGCTTGGAACGTAAAAGGAAGGGGATAGGAATCTTTTAATTACTTTACATAAAATGCTTCAGGTGCCTGATCTGGTTTATGCCACATAAGGTTATGCCAACAAGATCTTGCCCATAGAGATATCAAAAAGCAGGAACACATCGCAAAACCCTCGGATTATTAGGAGCAGAATCATGAGCTGCAGGGGGGTGGGGTGGGGGAATTACTGGTGAGGCTGTTGTAATTTTGCCAGAAGGCTCAGGTTCATAGCTCTGATTATCCGTAGAGTTCCCTGAACAACCACGGGCAGGTAAATGCTTGGCAGATGACACTGTCACCACTTGTGAACTAAAAAGTGTCCTGATGCTATAGTTGCTTGCAGTTCTGGTTCCTTCTCCCCTACACTAATGAGATGGAGCAAAAGGGCAGAAGAGGAAGACAGCAAAACAGAAGCCCTCCATCAAAACATGAGCTACAGACGGTTAAAAGGTTGAAAGCAAACTTAATTTAAAAAAATTCTATGAGGAAAAAAACTGTCTGCAGAAAGAGTCTGACTGCTCAAAGCATTAGTAGGTTCCCTGCATTCTTTTCCATGTATGTGGCATCATATCTGAAATGTGGATTATTGTGCCAATTCCACAATTTCCTTGTGTTTCATATTTCCGTTACTTAAAACTGGCCATGCACATCTGGATTAACCACTCTTTGTTTAGATAGCAAAGCACAATATGATCTTGTGACTTTGGTGACTGAATATTTCATTTTCTCCCATAAAAACTGTAGGCTTTTAAAAACCCCACCACTAAAAGTCTACATTTCAAAAATCACTGAAGGCGAGTTTATAATTTACCGCATGGAACACATTCAATGCATTTGGTTTCTTTGCTTATGATCAGAAGGCACAACTCGAGACATGTTAGTGTGAGGGCCTAGATGTAAACTGCCTAATTTCTGATTCACAACAGATGTGCAATAGAAATCGCAAATAGTCTATGTTTATTTATTTTATTTATTTAAAATGTTTTTATCCTGCCATTCTTCTTAAAAAGTACCCTAATTTCTTTCTTCTTTGTTTTACCTGGAATAGGTGGCAAGGCTTCTACATATGACTGTGGTCCTGTTCTTCCATCAAGGTGTGAATCCACAAACTGGCAGTGATCTTCGCCTCTTCCCCAGCTGTCTCCTATGCTGTAAAATGTATCTGAAAAGGTTGCATTTGTGGTTAGAACTAATAACTGCTCCAGTTCAGAGAGAAGGATTCCCCCCACCACCACCATCTTGCAAGAGATGTCTGCTCATAATGGATGAGGCACCTTGCATGAAAAGAGATATTCTGTATAAGAAAACCATAGGACTGCGTTGTTATGTTCTCATTTTTAAAAATCCAGTTCAATTTGTGGAAAGTAGAAAAGGATAGTGACAGCAGCAGCAAGAGCAACATTTTTCCTTTAAAAAGGGGGAAATATTCTAGCGGGCCATTTATGGTAGCAACGAAACAATGTCATGTTTTTCAAGAGAAATCTAAAATGCTGCTGATGCTAGGACTATCCACAAAGCTCCTACCCTGAAACATAAGAATCTTGACTGGGGGAAAAGTTAAGACACTCCTCTCCATTTACCTTAGTACTAGAAAGTTGTGTATGTAGCATCAGGCACTATGTGTTTGATACTACAACACCTCATGAACAACAATCCCAAAACTGCAACTGCCAATCAACCAGCTCAGGATTGGAAGAAGGACTGGAAGAAAGTATAATTACAGGCCATCCTGAATATATGAAGGAGATAAAAGTTGACTCTATGGAGGTCAGAAGCAGTAGCCTTTTGAAGTAGGGATTCGTGCTGATTAGGTAGAAATGCATACATTTTCTGCTTATATACACATATGGAAGATGAGGAAAAGCTTTGAAAATTTCAGAAGGCATCCTGTTTAAACCTTTTCCCTTCAACCAATGGGTCACAATGGAGATTTTCATCTCATGAACGGGCCAGTAAAGGCTCAGACAGACATAATACTAATTTAGAAATGATGGGTGAAGGTCTCAAGAGTGCACTTGTTTATTATTTCTATAGATTTCTGAAATAATAGGAGCATTATGGTAGAAGAATCCACTGGCACTGTATGAAAGCAAGCTAGTGATCCTTGCCAACATTCCTGAACTCAGTGAAACAGATTTGTATATCTGCTATTGGCTGAGAATCACAATGTGGTAGATCTCATGTGTTCTGGATTCACACATTCTGCAACTGTGCCATCAGTTGCTTTCAAAAACCAAGAGACTGAATGGTAATGGAAATGTTTTGGATCAAAACATTACTACCACCAATCCGTGGGCCAGAGGTGACAACCGTGGCCAACCACAGCTACAACCATGGTCAATTTACTTATATACCACATGATCCACAACAGGTTTCTCACTCAAAACTATAATGGTAGTTCTTGTACATTGTGATATTAATTCAATTACAAATCACTTAAAATATTAAACAGCTGACTTAAAAGAGTAAATAAGAGCAATATGAGGCCAGTTAAAAGTATTGAATGGCAAATAATCACATGGCAGGAAGCCCAGTTCAAGCAGGAGAATTAGGTTCCCATGTGCACCATTATCACCATGGTCACTCCTTTCTAGATGCTGCTGGACTACAATTCCCAGGATCCTTCATCTTGACTACTGGCCTAGGACTGGTGTGAGTTACATCCTAACATCTGGAAGAACAGAGTTGCAATCCCATCTTGTAAATAAAATAAAATAAATAAATAAATAAATAAATAAATAAATAAATAAATGCATAGGGACTGTTTTCATTAAGCCTTTGCTCCCTACCTGCAATGAGCAGCCCCGTCCTACCAATTCCTCTAGAACTGTTGTGCAGATTTACATTTTTTGGACTATAGTTCCACAAATTCCCCAGGCAGTGTCCAAAAGGCACTGTCCAAAAAACACAACTCTACTCATTTCCATTTCCCTCTAAAATGCCCTTTATCGTATCAAGAGTTGAGCCAAAAATGCCACCTCACTTCTGCAGCTGCACTTACAAGACCAAGGCAGCAGGGCACATTTTCTCTGAAAGGTAGGGAAAGAAGGAATTCTTCACATTTTCAATGGTGGGGATGAGTTCATATGGAACAAAAGGCAGAATTCCATCGCAAGAACACTACCTCTCAAGTTACATAATGCCAGAACACAGCATTGTTCAAAGTGAGACATTATGGGAAAACATTACACACACACCCCGGTCTGTCAAAAGAGAGCCACCACTCCTCCATTTGCAGCAACCGCCAGGCACATTTTTATGGAATATTATAGCCACCATTTATCACTGGTAAATTCCTTGCATTCCAAAATACAGAGCATCTCCCTCTTTAAAAACAATGGATTTTCTTTTTTGTCTCTCCTTGCTATGCCATGAATGTTTGTGAATCAACTCCAATTAAATGAAAAATTTGATGGACCTCTATCGCCAAAACTCTGGGAGCTAAATGTTGTGATTAAATGTCTTCACGTTGTGTTTGACTTATGATTACCCTATGTGTTAATGGAACTGGCTGGAAAGCCCAGTGGGTTAGAGCACCTGAATACTATTTCCCACTGTGCTTCTTGCCTGCCAGCCTATGCAGCCTTGGGTAAGCTGCACGGTCCCAGAAGACCATCAGAAGGAGATATCACTCCTGAGTACTGTATGCATAGAAGTGTCGCTCTACATGTGCTGCTAAGGACTCACTTAGCAGCACATGATACCAACAATGACAACGTCTGATCAGATCTTGCAAACCAAAGATTATGACTACATTTACTGAGCCAGTACCCTAATAGCACTGTAGAAAACAGTGTTGTTTCCAACATGCACACCTTGAATGGGATTAAGAATAATTAGAATGGGGTTAGGACACGTATGGGGTATGAATAAGTGAAGTAAATCCAATTCACATAGTCTTGGGCCATGTCTTTTTGTCTCCCAGCGCATGGATTGAATTCAAATATTCTAGTGCAAAGCATTATCACTTGTCCCTGGGGGCTTAACAGATTGTTCCTAGTGGTCTTTTGTATCAAACCAACTCACAATGAAATAAGCCAGATACATACCTCTTAGATCATCACTGAGGTAAATTTTGTATCTCAATGAGTTACAAAGGACAACTCCTACAAACTTCCGATACCATGTCCGTTTCACATACTGTTTGCCACTGCATTCAGAGTATGTGGGATCATATTTAAATGAAAATGGGATCCAGATTGGTTCACCACCTAAAAAAGAATGGGGAAAAAACTAGAAGTTCACTTCACCATATTTGCTTGTTCACTTATGTGTTTGGAGTCACAGACTAAGTCATAAATGAAGTAAATCTGATATTCTCCACCAATTTTCTTTAGAACATTTGTCAAAATCTTGGAACTGAGTAAAAATACACTGTGAGACAGGATCAAGATGTTGATTTAGCTAACAGGATACCTTTGATTCTATAGCAAGTGGTATATAATAATGAACTCACCACTATCACCAAGGAATACTCTTGACTTCTTAGAATATATTGGCTTTCTGATACATTGCCAGAGTTAACAAACCATAAAGGGATTATTGACATGATGGGCATTACAAACTTTTAATATGACATTTCAAAATCAGCTGAAAAAAAGGACTTTTAAGATTTTGTTTGAATTTAAATTCTGAGGTTTTTTTTAACATAAATCAAACAGATATACTTTTAGTTAAATCAATTACAATAGCAAAGGAAATCTTAACTTTATTGCTTTATAAGAAGCTGCAATACTGAAAAGCCACCATCTATCAACAGCCAAGGCCACAATGAAATTAAACGGAAGTACTTTAACACTGAAAAATAACTGAAACAGGCAAAAAAAAAAAATGGTGAGATGACAAATAATCTTAGAAACAGATATACTTTTAGTTAAATCAATTACAATAGCAAAGGAAATCTTAACTTTATTGCTTTATAAGAAGCTGCAATACTGAAAAGCCACCATCTATCAACAGCCAAGGCCACAATGAAATTAAACGGAAGTACTTTAACACTGAAAAATAACTGAAAGAGGCAAAAAATGGTGAGATGACAAATAATCTTAGTCTCATGAGTTAAAAATCTACTTGCGTGTATTTGGCATTCATCATGAGTCGGGTAACACACAACCTCCCCTCCTAAATGGAGGGTTCTGGGAATTGGTTACCATTGACTTTGAAATCAATTGTCCTAGTCCAAATTAAATTTGGTGTGGTGTACAAATGTAAATGCCAGTGGGCTGACCTGATCATTTCAATGATGACAAAAGTATTCTGAACACAAAAGAATGTACACAGGAATCGCTCCCCTCAATTTAATTGAACAGGGTAGTCCATGTGGGTGGCAGAGACTTGTGGCTGCACCAGCAAAGCAAATCACTTGATCATACAATAGGCACTAAATGCTTTTAAATCAAAGCATTGGAGCTTAAATGCTGTCAACTGATTGGGCTTTACAAATATATTGAAGAGCATCTTCCCTATGAACTGTATGAGCTGTAAACAGATCAAACAGAACTATCTGCCTTGCTTCTAAAGCCAATTTGTCATTCTAGCCATACATGAAAACAAGGGAAAGTTACACTGTGAAAGCTGTTGCTTCACTTCTTTCTCAATGCATTTCTCTATGTGGGCTGCCTCTTTTATACTAGTGGCAACTGTGCCATGGCATGAGAACCAGGTTTTTGAAAAGAGAAAAGACAAAGTAACATTTTGTCTTTTCTTCTGTCAATTCTTTTGAAACACCATCCCCAAAAGAAGCAAGACATAGCCCTTCGAACATACATAAATTCATGAACACCCCACAGAAATAGCCCCATTGAACTGTGCTGAAATGGGCTTCAGTATGGCTGACTTCAGCAGAATGGGTCTTCTTTTGTATGAAAAGGTTCTCATGTGGGCTAAATGCTTCCCAGCATTTCAGCCTGTGCAAATAAAACAATGAAGTGTTCATGGAAAGAAAACTACTCAATGAGTCTGAATCAAAGCACTCAGCATTCCCATGGTATTCACTTTTTATTAAAATTTTCCTTTTAAGACCCTGTAAAACTGCCCCCCAGGCACCTAGATACTCCAAAAGGGTAGGGAACTTGTGTTTCAGACATCTGAGTTATACACCCACAAAGTAGGTGCCCCCAGGAAAATGCCCTTTAGCAGCTGACTTGGAGAAATTTGTCCCATTTCTAAATATAATATAATATAATATAATATATAGTATAATATCATATCATATCATATCATATATCATATCATATCACATAAATGTAGGATTGCTACAAGGAGATATCAAGCTGCTTTGAACTGTATGAAAATTTAAATCTTAAATCTTTTAAATCCACTTTGTAAATAAGACCACAAAGGTTATAAGCCTGGAAAATATTCACTAACCTTTTGGAAGCTAGCAGAGGGAGGACAAAGAGCTCTATCCCTCCACTAGCAGCAGGCTAAATCTTCTTGTAGAGTTACAAGTCCTGAGGGGAAATCTGCTCCTCTTTTTGTTTGGGAAAATCCCTTTTCCTTTGTTTTCTTTCTTTCTTTTGGTGCTACAACTCCCAGAATCCAGCCATGGATGATTCTGGGACTGTAAACTTTTTAAGTTCTGAGACTCTTCTTTGGCAGCTTGATTGATTATGATGCTGGCAACAGAGGAGGGCTGGAATACTTTGTCTCTTTTCTATCAGTCTGCTCACTTATTTTCATGGGATTCTCTGCCACATCTACTTATAGCAATTTTTGAAAAATCTCAAGAGAAAACACTCAGCACAGCCAATGTTTGATACAAGAATGCTCTGCTGAACTGAAGCCCTATAAAGATGAAACCTAACATTTATACACCCAGTACTTTGAAGATGTGTGATTTCATCAAGGTAGGCTGTCCCTTCACTTTGTGAAATCTTTAAGTAAGGGAGCTCATAATTTTCGTAATATAGTGAAAACCAGATGTACACCACAGCATGTTCCTAGAAATGGAGTGAAGAACCTTTGGTTCTCCTATAGCTCCCCTTATTCTCTTATCATTGGCCCTATTGCTGGATTTTGCAGGTGCAAAATCCAAATCATGTGGAGGGCCTTACTATTGCTCTGAGTTGCTCTAACTGTGTGTGTCTTCTTTGGCATTAGTCATCTCCACAATCAGCAAATGACACTAGTAGCTGTATAAATCAAGAGAGCTGTTGTCCATAGCTTGTTATTAGTTTTGACTTTGTTTGTCAATTACATGGAGTCTATCAACTCCAGTTTTTACATTACTCTGGACAAAATACTAAAAATTCAGTAAGACTTACCTGGCGGTCTGACAATAAGTAGAGGATTATCTGCAAGAAGGGAACAAATAATGCCTGAGTGGGTTTTCCTGAATATTTCTATTCCCTAAAGCCAAACTGAAATGAGAAGCTACTCATCAAAAACATTGGTAGAATATGTATGTTTTGATTCACGTTTATTTTCAAAGTAAAACACACCCACAAGGTTCCATTTAAGATTCTTCTTTTTTTTGTTGTGCAAGCTATATACCTTTCAAAGCCTTTACACTGTTCTACTTTTTACAAAACTATGTTTTGATTTCTTGGAGTGAAATTTGGAGACTTGCCATGGAATAAGTAACTTGAATACAGAAATAGGTTTCTGAAGACTTAGTGTAGAAGATCCATGAAAAAAAAACCACAACAGAGAACAAAAAGAAAACAGGGCAGACTTTCCAATAGCCCAGAATCATGAAGGTACAAAAAGCCAGAATCTATTGTGCAGTAGCTTGGCACCAAATGAAATTGCAAGCCAGCCAACAGTTGGAAACTATGACAAGTAACAGCCCAGAATTAAGCAAATTGTATTCCCTCCAGTAATCTGGACAGGGAATACTGCTGAAAAATATACTGGCATCCTTTGGAAAAGCAAATTGAAGGGGGCCTAAAATGAAAATAAACTGCCAAACACCCAATACAAGAGCAATCTAGAAAGCCATATAAAATGGTGAAAGGTGATAATATACAGAGGCAAATCAAAGCAAAAATTTAGAAAATCCTACGCAAAAATTGTTTTCAGTGAGGTGTGAGCGGAACATGCTCTGCTGCTTTTTTGTTAAGGCAAAGATAGCCATCAAACTAACTGGGAAGCAAAGTCTGCTTTGAAAAGTTCCACATTCTCTATTAAGAAAACTCTGCTTCTGGACTCTCAGCCTTGTAAAGAAGTCATCATCTATTAACTATATGGATTCTAATCCATTAATTATGTGATTAAATTAATACTGGGGGGGGCGTGGGGAGAAGAATCAATGTATGCAAGAATCAAACATTTGGGTAAATCCAACTGTGAATTTCAAAGTAAAGAAGATTTAGAATAGGTAGACAAACTGGCAATGCAATGCTAACTCAAACATATGCTAGCTAAAGGGGGTTAGGAATAGGCAAAAATCCAGTTAAGGCTGGTGAAATGCTCTTCTACTAGCATAGGGTGGGTAATCTCAACAGGTTTAGGGAGCAGACTTTCTCCAGACTCCCCATGGACCACATCAGATTGAGAAATAGCCATTTTTCAGTGATTCACTTTGGGGCTTAATGGGGTCTCCAGTGCAAATCCATCAAACTCCAGAAGCCTCCAGGAGTGGAAATGGGCTTTTCAGTAAGAATAATACAAAATAATGGGGGCTCTGCATTGGTCTTTGGAGGCTGGAAAAATCCTTGGTAGGCCTCCTGTTGCCCATCCATGTGTTAGGAGAACCCCATTCTGTTGGCTGATCTCAGAGATCTTGCAGCAAAGAAATCTATGGGTGTGTCATCAGAAAAAGCAAAAGAAGTGGCAAAGAAGGGTGGAGGGAGGGAGGAGCTGAAACAAGCCAGATCCAGTGAGGAACAAAGACATGGTAATTTGGAACTTTCCTAGAATTTCCTGTTTCCCTGTTTCCGCTTACACCCAAATCTATTACAGAGGACTCTGTAATCCTGTTGGTTTTGATTATAAAGTTTTTACCTTCATAGACAAAAATTTTAATGGTTAAATATGCATATGAATTATAATGCTGAAAATTTATAGTCAGAATAAGGGCAGGAATGGGAATGTTTAACAAGAAAAAACTATTATAGGACCCAAGCCTACAGAAGAAAGAAAAGTGATTATCCTGAGTTAGTTAAAGGATCATTATACTGTATTTTGTTATTGTTAAGTCAGTTGACCTATGATCCAACTAATCAAAGAAAAAATAACATGGAAAAGACATGTTTTTAGGCAGCCACATTTGAAAATCTTGTAAAAGCCTTTAACCACTATAAGCAGTATCAGCATTATGAAATGGGAACAAGATGGAGGGAAAATGGAATGGAAAATAGTTTCCCATCTTCCTTCCAGACACAATTGCTTCCAAATGTTCATCTGCTGATAATTAAAAAAATACTAATTCGAAGTGTCTCGCCAAAGTAACAAAAACGAATTCAGCTTCCTTATTTTCTTTTTAAATTTGACCTTCTTTACTTTCCATTTGTCAGGGTATTAAAAACCAAACACCGGGCAGCTCTGAAGACTGTTGGCCTGCTTAAGTTGCTATTTAGAAAAATTAGTTAAGAGTTGGCTTTCTGTAGTAGAAATAGCAATATACCCAATTTACTGCTGTTTGGCTGGGGACAGAAACCTTGAAATATTGTTTCTGCTAAAACAGTGTCCAACTCCTTGATTGTGTAAAGTTACTGCTTCCCTTACCTCATGAAACCTCTGATTGATTCTTCCAAACTTGTATGTATGTATGTATGTATGTATGTATGTATGTATGTATGTATGTATGTATGTATGTATGTATGTATGTATGTATTCATTCATTCATTCATTCATTCATTCATTCATTCAGTATGCATGCATGCATGCATGCATGCATGCATGCATTCATTCATTCATTCATTCATTCATTCATTCATTCATTCATTCGACTTATTACCTTGCCCCTCTATACAACGTCTACTCACGGTGGCTTACATGAATAAAAACAGAACAATATGAACAATATAAAAATCATCTAAAACACAGTTTTAACACTTATTTGTAACCTATGACTAGTCACATGCTCCTGTATGATTACAGTGCCCTCCTGTTTCTATCCTGTTGTTACATACCACTAAATTATTTTTTTTCTACATCTACTTTGTTCCTTTCTCTGTTTTATCTCTTCTCCAATATTCCATCTTTTGTTCTTTCCAGTCTTACTCCATCCTGAACTTTGTTCATATTTAGGAATATTAGAATTCAACATGACGTTTGAAATATTATTTTCAAGTACTGTACCTGATTCTGTGACATAAGAAATTGAAGAGCTCATAGGTCCATAACCATAGGGATTCTTTGCTTGGATTTTAAAGTAATACCTATGGGGATGGGAAGAGAAAGGAAGTGAAAGTAAGAGGGGTCCATTAAAATCGCACTAAATGCATATCAGATTATAATAATAACATGAAGAAAATGTTTAGAATACAGTTATTGTACATGATGGCAATTTTACTGAATGCATAAATTATATCACATATTTTGTGTCAACTCTGCTTGTTATTCCATCTACTGTTTCACTTGGTTCTGAGGCAATGAGGAAACCAGTATGGTCAGGTTGTGTTCATTACAAAATCACTGCAGCAGCATCAAGGTATAAGAAAGATGCATCAACAAGCTACCACCAGTAACTAACACAACTAACATAACATTTTTATCACTCAACATCATCCCAAGCACCATGCTTTTCACATAGGTTAGTTCACTTGGGCAAGTGTCGGTCATCCATTGTTATGAAACCATACCAGAACATGCGACGTAAGGGCAGGAATAGATTAGTCCTCATTCTCAGAAAAAGATATCAATGTCCTACACAACAAGTTGACACCAGAACAAGGGAAAACTGAACAAAGAAGGTCTGCTGAGTCCTTAAAGGGGAGACAAAGGGCACTTTGTGAATGTGTCACCTCATATTTGCAGACTCGGGTCTGTAACTTGGAAAAGTTACTTTCTGGTTACAACTCCAAGAATTTCCCAGCCAGCATACTACAAAAAGTAGTAGTACAAAAGTACAAGTAACTTTTCCATGCTCAGATTTGGTCTAAAGGTGATCATGGATAAGTAAGAAGAATTTGTCAGTATACTGTTGCATATTTTTGCACCTTTTCTTTAAACAGGCTCCTTGACTACTCAGTGAACATTGTTAGGTTGGTAGTGCCCTGCAATACTCATGCTATACACTGGTGTTGTGTGCTAAACAGTAGATAGAGAGGCCAGGAGGCCTGGTTTAAACAAGCTACCAGATGCATTAATTCAGGAGATCTGGGTTCAAATCCCCGCTCAGCCAAAGAATCTTACTGGAGGGTTGGCAATTGTAAAACCACTGCTTAAATATCTTGCATACCTTGAAAACTATCTGAGAGTCTCCATGTGTGGAATGCAACTTGATGGCACATAATACACTTATAAAGATGTAGCCAAAGCTAGGGAAGAAGCTTAATATAAATACAAATTACCCTGCCATCAGATGCTTGTTTTAACAAATATAAATATAATTCACATTTCACTGTAAGCACTGAACTGAAAAGCTTCAGACTAAATACTGTGGGAAAAGATATCATCTTGGCAAACAATCAGCATTTGGTGTCATTTCCAGAGGCTGTGGGAGGAAAAAGTATTATGCCAGGATTTGCAAACAAGTACTGGAAACAGAGAAACACATATACCATCTCAGACATATGAGCACAAACTGAGCCACAGTTCACAAACTCATGTTCTTTATATTTATGACATGCAAATTGCACGTGCCATGGAAACAAGATCAACTGTTACATTTGTACTGGTAATGTCTTGGACTTCTGCAAGACAAAGCATTCTGAATAGTTTTAATGATAATTGTTTACAAAGGCCTCAATTCAACCTGATGCTAATGAAACGGAAGACTCCATTAATGTAGTTGTGCTTCATATGACAACTGCACAAATAGCAGCATAAGAGACAACGTATCCTTACAACCTGTTTCACACAGTGAGCCTGAGTGCCACATCTGCTGGTTGCCCAGGGGAAAGTAGCAATGGATCTCTCTCGTTGTTTCTGTTAGTGTAACAGACTGTGCTTGTGCAATGACACTGTTGGATTCAGGCCACAGATTTGATCACTATTATGTGATCTAGGGGAGAAAAGTGACCCCCCCCAAGTGTGTAACAGTACCAAATACAAGACGGAGAGACAAGATAACCTGTTAAAGTTCCAGTCTGTAAATTCCCAAGGAAAAAAACTGTTTCTCAACATATGCTGGCAAGCAGATATAATGAGATTTTAGCAAGGATCTCAAAATATTCATGGATGATAAGCATCTCAAAATGAATGGGTCTTTTCACCTGCTGTGGCCTTTGAGAGGGCCTCTGAGTCAAGGTACATTCAAGGTCTACAGAAACACTGATGCGAATATTAGAGGAAATTAGTTTGCTTCTAGCGGTTGATGGCAGCACTTTGGCCTATAGGAACATATTTAGCATGGTTTCCTCCCCTAAGGACACAGATTTAGTTATTAATTTAATATAATGGTATTTATCCCCCCCCAAAAAAGGAAATACAGGTTGTACATTTATATATAATATCTAAAATCCTGTTCCAGTGTAACAAGGTGCAAGAAGAACAGGCCCATTTGAGTCAATGGAACTTATGGAGGAATGAACACCAAATCCCCATTGATTCAATAGGCCTATTCTAGTGAGACGTACTGTACGTACTATGCTAAGAAACAGGATTTCAGTCATCGTATTAGTACTTGTATTGTGGAACACTGAACCAAACGTAAGAACAGGCCTATTCTAGGGAGACGTACGTACTATGCTAAGAAACAGGATTTCAGTCATCGTATTAGTACTTGTATTGTGGAACACTGAACCAAACGTAAGAACCAAATGATCGGTCAACATTTTGACAAGTCTTCCTGCACCTATGCAGATATTTTATTTATGTTTATATTCTTGCCCTAAATTTAATATTTCCTATTCAAGTACAGCTAATGGGCTTGCATTAACCCTAACCCTGCCATCTCTTTTATGTGGAAAGCAACAGTCTGAGAGGGAAAGCCTCCTGTTCATAGTTGTAGTTTTTGAAATGGTAGCCATGTTAGTCTATGTAAGCATATCAGATGAGAAACAAAACAAAGGAGACGAAAACAAAGCCAAAATGATTAGTTAGTAGACACAAGTTAGAAGGGACATGGTGGCGCGGCGGGCTAAACCGCAGAAGCCTGTGCTGCAGGGTCAGAAGACCAGCAGTCGTAAGATTGAATCCATGTGACGGAGTGAGCGCTCGTCGCTTGTCGCAGCTCCCGCCAACCTAGCGGTTCGAAAGCATGTAAATGCGAGTAAATAAATAGGGACCACCTCGGTGGGAAGGTAACAGCGTTCCATGTCTAAGTCGCACTAGCCATGTGACCACGGAAGATTGTCTTCGGACAAACGCTGGCTCTATGGCTTGGAAACGGGGATGAGCACCGCCCCCTAGAGTCAAACACGACTGGACAAAAATTGTCAAGGGGAACCTTTACCTTTACCTAGATACAAGTTGCAAATTGAGCGACTCCATATTGCTATCCATAGCCTGATGTTTGTTTATCAGCAAACCATTATCAAATTTTACAGAACAATGCTTCAAAGAACTGGATATTGATCAGGGGTCCTACATCATGACCAAGTGTGAAATGTCACACCAACTCACACAATTTGCAACCTTGTTTTGTTTTGTTTCTCTTGTTCATTGTTTGCTTTGGTGCCAAAAATTCTTTAAAATATATTAAATAACTTTTTAAAATCATATTTCCAAAACCAGTCTGCAAGTTCAACACAGATGGAGCCGTGGGGCGGAGGCATTTCCTAGAAAACTATGGCAACCCCTGACTGAGGAACCAACTACCTCCGAATATCTGCCTGGCCCCTTCACTGGCAACTTTCAAAAAGCTTTTTAAAACCTAGCTGTTTCAACAGGCATTTTATTCTGGGTCATCAATGAAATCCCAATGAATTAATCAACCAGTAAGTTCACTATACTGCCATTTTAAATGCTTATATGTTTACATGATGATATTCTTAACTATTTATTTGTATGTAGTATTTATTTTTATATTAGTAAGGATGTTTTTATTGCTTGTTGCTTTGTTTTGTCTCATGTTGTAAACCACCCAGAGTGGCCCTCAGTTAGACAGGTGGTATATAAATAAAACAAACAAACAAATAATAAATAAATAAAATTTGCTTCTTTTCATACTCATTACCCTTATGTTGTCCTGTCTGTTTTCAGTTTCAAACACATCAAACACAGCACATACCACTGACAAAACAAACAAACAAACAAACAAACAAAAAAACCAACGAAACTTTATTCTGGCTAAGTATCAAAGCAACATACCCTAAAAAATTACAGTATCTAAATTTAATCAGACAGTTGTGCAAATGAAAAAAAGATACTTAAGCATGATTGTCACAAAGAAACCCAGAAAGTTGCTTTTCCACAGACCCAAGCAACTGAAACAAGGCACTGTTAAAAACTCTGCAGTAACTCACCACCTGATTTTACTAAACTATGAATCTTACTTTACCGGAGGAAAGATAAGGACTAGATGAGAGAAGCAACTATCTAATTACTTGTTTAAACCTAAAAAACTATTACAGATAGTTGAGGAATAAAATCTCAAGTACATAAGAACATAAGAAGAGCCCTGCCGGATCAGGCCAAGGGCCCATCTAGTCCAGTTTCCTGTATCTCACAGTGGCCCCACCAGATGTCTCTGGGACCACACGAGACAACTAGAAGCCTGTCTCCTGATACCCCTCCCTTGCATCTGCCATTTTGCGGTACCTTCCTTTCAAGCCTGGAGATCATACATCCCCATCATGGCTTCTAACCTGCTTCTACTAGTAAGAATCAGTATCATAGTAGATGGCATTTCAGCATATTAATATGAACCACAGAAATACACAGTCATAAACTCTTACACAAAAAGCAAGAACAGATGAAGTTAATGAAAAATAACATCCATACAACATCCTCCATTTAGGAAACAATGAGGGGCACTGAATTAAAGCATGAAGCTAGATCTTGAAAGCTGAATATTGTATGGTAAATATAGAAAATATCAACTACATATCTATTTACTTTGATTTGTCTGAATTTTTAAAAGGGACAAGGAAAGCAATACAAATACAACGTTAAGGAGATTTATACATTTTTTAAACTTACTGGTGTATAACTGTCCATAAAAGTCAGATAAGATGCTACCACTCATTATGTAAGGGGAGAAAGTGGGCAGCAAGTTCACCTGCTCTCTTTCATTATCTCTAACAGAACGAGATGATGTAACATAAATACAATG